CCAAGCCTCGGGAGGCAGGATTGCCCCTGCTGCCCACACACCCCCAGCAATCAGGGCATCATGGAATGCTTTGGGTTGGGAGGGACCTTAAAGGATCCTCCAACTCCAAACCCCTGCTGTGGGATCAGCACATTCCACTAGAATTCCCCTCCTCTTACTGCTTTCATCCTCCTGATCTCCAGGTGAGGAGCAGCAAACTCAAGGGAATAGATCTCCTTGCCCTGCAGAGTTCTGTGTCCAGTGTTCCCTAATTTCCATTATTTCCATAATTTCCACTATCCAATTTTCACTGGCATTATCCCACACATCCCAATTCCATCCCTGTTTCCTTCCCTCCGTGAGATTCCCACATCTGACCATCCCATTGCACCAGCTGATCCAAGGCACACCAGGAGCAATAACAGGTGAAGGAATCACATCCATCTGTAACTTCCCAAGTGAGGAACTCTCTATCAGACCAATCTTCTCCCTGAATCCCAGATCAAAGCTTCCCTTCCCATCAGTGGTACACCCCAAGCTGTGTTCCCCTCAGGAATTTGGAGACAGCTGCTTCCTTTCCCTCCTCTTTAGCCCACCTGGAAGTTCCTGTGCAGGCAGACATCCCCATTTCCCTGGTGGAGGCCAGAGGTTCCCACCAAACCATCCCCATGGAAACGCCCTCTCCATACCAACCAAGCCACCTCGGAAGTTCACCTGGAGAGCCCTTGGCCACCAGTGCCCCAATATCCATCTTTCCTGGGTGGATCCACCTCTCCAAACCCCTCACACAAACCACCTCTAACTCTGACCCCACAAACGTGGATTCTTTACACCAAATTCCCACAATCTGAGGTTCAGACACCACCAGGTAAAAGCTGAGCCTTGCACAGCTCCAGCTGGGAAGGTCTCAGACGCCAACCCCACCCCAGAATTCCCAGGAGAAGGCAGGAATTCCTCCCCCCAGGCCCCTCACCTTCTTCGCCACGTGGCACATCTGCTCAGCCGGGAGGTAATCGAAGGGGAAGACGAACCTCCAGTTGAAGTTGCCCTCTCCCCCCATGGACCTGTAGTGCACATCCGTCTTCTGCTTGTTCTCCTCGTGCCCCACCAGCCACCTGCAAAGCGCAGACAGAGCCCATGGAAAACCAGGAACACGGCGAGGATTCGGGATGTGAGCAGGAAATGAGACGAGTTCCTCATCCCTGCCGGGATTCCCTTTCCCCAGCTGAGCTCTGCAGCTCAGCTGGACTTTTTAATTCCCTTCCCAGGAATTCCAAGCTGCTCCCCACTCTTAGGTCTCTACGTGTCCATTTTGTCATGGGAGCATCCAAGAGATCCAAAGAAAAACGGTGTCCTTAAGCAGTTCTGAGCCCAGTGGAGACGTGTCTTCCAAGAAAATGGATCTACCCATGGAGAGGTCTGGCTCTGTCCATGGAGAGGTCTGGCTCTGTCCATGGAGAGGTCTGGCTCTATTCATGGAGAGGTCTGGCTCTGTCCATGGAGAGGTCTGGCTCTATCCATGGAGAGGTCTGGCTCTGTCCATGGAGAGGTCTGGCTCTGTCCATGGAGAGGTCTGGCTCTACCCATGGAGAGGTCTGGCTCTATCCATGGAGAGGTCTGGCTCTGTCCATGGAGAGGGTGGATCCATGCCTGCAGACAGGTGTATCCATCCATGGACAGAATGGATCCACCCCTGGAGAGGTGTGATGGTTCATCCAGCAGGATCCATGCCCACCCCAGCAGGATCCACGCTCACCCCAGCCATGTTGCTCCAAGACCCGTTTTAACCCTTTCCCTGCTGTTCCAGCTCCGGAATCCGGGCTCCCTGGAGCGGGAGGGCTCACCCTTTGACGTAGATGTCGCTCATCTTCTCCCCGGTGATGCTCAGGTCGTCCAGGATCACGTCCCTGGTGTTCCAGATGATGCAGCGCAGGTAGAACCTGGAGCACCCGGAACAACCGGCGTGAGGTGGGGAAACTCAATCCCAATCCCACCTGGGCAGCTGCTCCTGCCCTGAGCCGCCATCCCTGGGGATGATCCCACAGGGAAGGTGAATCCCACCCCGCCTGGCACCTCCAAGCCCTCCCAGCTGCCCAAGGAGAAGGGGCTGGACTGTCCTCTTTTCCCCCCAGGAATGCCCTGTTACCTCTTGGCTTTGCGGGGGCTGATGTTGAAAGGGGGCCCGGGATGTCCCAGGGATTTTGGGAACAGATCCACCCACATCTGCAGCTTTCCCTGCGGGGAAAGAACAACCTGTGAAGCCTGAGGAGCCTCCAAGCTGGGTCACCTGCCCCTCCTCGGGGACAGCCAGAGAATGCCACATGCTCCACAATTCCCTCCATGAACGGGGAGGATTCCCTCGTGGAAAACAGAAAATAAAATAAAATAAAATAAAATAAAATAAAATAAAATAAAATAAAATAAAATAAAATAAAATAAAATAAAATAAAATAAAATAAAATAAAATAAAATATAGAACAGAATAACATAAAAGAGAATAAAATAAAATGAAAGATGAAATTAAATACAGATAAAATAAAATAGAATAATGTAAAAGAGAATAAAATAAAATAGTATAGAATAAAAGAAAATAAAATATAAAATAAAGATAAAATAAAATAAAGATAAAATAAAGATAAGAGAGAATAAAAGAGAGCAAAATGAAATAAAATAAAATGAAGAGAAATAGAATGGAATAAAATAAAGATAAAATAAAATAGACATATAAAAGAGAATAAAGGAGAATAAAAAAACATAAAAATAAAATAAAATTAAAATAGAATAAAATAGAATAGAATAAAAAAAGATAAATTAAAAATAAAATAAAATAAAGATACAGATAAATTTCAAAGTGTGAGGCACAGCTGCTGCTGGAAATGCCCACGGGAGGCTGGAATCGATGTCCCCAAACCCCATTTTCAGGACAGCAATGGCTGGGTTGAGCCCCACCATGTGATAAGCAGAGCTCTGCTCCAGCCCACCCAGCTGGGAGCAGGAGGGAGTTTCCCCCCCCCTGGGAAAACCCCAATCCCAGAGCAGGGACCCCTGGCAGTGACAGGGCTGGTGTCATGGCTGGAATCCCTGTCCCCCAGTGCCCCCAGTGCCCCCGTGCCCACCCCACCTGCTCGATGCCAGGCTGCAGGGGGCTGGAATCCCTGTCCCCCAGTGTCCCCAGTGCCCCCATGCCCACCCCACCTGCTCGATGCCAGGCTGCAGGGGGCTGAAGAGCCGCCGTGTCTCCACGTGCTCGGGCACCAGCCCCTGCTTCCTCAGGGCCAGCAGCGCCAGCCGCTCCTCCACCGGCCCCAGGTGGGGATTCGGGGGCTTCCCGTCCTCTGCCAGAGGGCAAAGAGCAGCGTCACTCCCAGGGGATGGGGTTGGGATGTCCCAGGGATCACCACCAGCCTCGCTGCAGCCGGAGCAGGAGGGGCAGAGCCCCCATTCCCAAACCCATCCCCACAAACCCTCCTGGGCACAGCTGTCCCACCCCACGGGCAGGTCCCACTGCCAGGCCCTTTTCCCACGGGCAAACCCCCCCAGATGGGACAGGGACCTGCCCAGAGCCTCGTGTGACCACCCCCAAACCACGGGAACAGCACAAGGACCAGGCTGAAGGGCACAGAAAGGAGACCCCAGGCTCGGATCCTGTCCAGGGGTTCAGGGCTCCTAAAGCCATAGGAATTGGGGTGCAGGGTCCCCAGCAGCCCCCCAGCCCACGCTGCTCCTCTGCTGACATTCCCACCCCCACCAGAGGTTTGTCCCGTCATTCCAGCCCATCCAGGATCTTCAGCTGGGCAGAGGAATGAGCTCCCAAAGGGATCCCATTTCTTCTCTGCTGGGTTGGGGGTGAAAGACAGAAAGGAGAGGGGGAGGAAGGCCATGGAGACACCACCAGCACAGCTTGGTGGCTGATCCTGGTTCCACTTCCATCCCAGTCCCTGCTCTGCTCCTTCCTGCTCCCTCTGGGATATCTGTGGTCCTTCAAGGAAAGGGGCAAGGACGTGGCAGCCACGATGAATAAAGACTTGGAAGCATCTCCTCCTCCTCACCTGCTCCACACCAGACCCTCATCCTGCCACAGACCAGGATCCATCCATCCATCCATCCATCCATCCACCCATCCATCCATCCATCCACCCATCCATCCATCCATCCACCCATCCATCCAGTAAGGGTGGATGGCCAACCTGGCCTTGGCTGAGCCTGCTCCTGCCTCCCCATCCCATTCCATGATTTTGTACCAGTTGTCGGCCAGGATGACCCATCCTTGGAAGGGGCTGCCCAGGGAGGTGGTGGAGTCACCACCCCTGGAGGTGTCCAAGGAATGACTGGATGTGACACTCAGACAAGGTGGGGATCAGCCAGTTTGGACTCAGTTACCTCAGAGCTCTTTTCCAACCTTACCAATCCTGGGATTTCATGATCCCAAAGCTCTTTTCCCGCCTACAAGATTCCCTGGCTCTGTGAATCCAAACTGAACGATTCCCCAAGCTCCTCCCATGCCAGGCTGGGGAGGGAGCAGGACCTCACCCCAACCCCGCTGCCCTCCCAGGCTGTGCCCCTTCCAGGACCCTGGGAACAAAACACTGTTCCATAAACACCATTCCAGACCCAGGTGACACATCCCAGCTCCTTTCCTGGCAGGGCCTTGAAGTGCTTAACCCCGGCCATCTGGGCTCCATCCCAGCCATTCCCAGGCACTGGAAAGCTGGGCTGTGCACAGGGGGTGTGTCCAGAGCCAGGGGGAGACACCAGCCCCTCGGGAACAACTGCCAGGGGGTGGGATGAGGGGCTGGGGGTGTGGGATGAGGGGCTGGGAGTGTGGGATGAGGGGCTGGGAGTGTGGGATAAGGGGCTGGGAGTGTGGGATGAGGGCTGGGGCAGATGCTTGTAAAAGCCCTGCTGTGGTTTCCTGGCCCCAGCCCAGCCCCAGCTCCCAGCTGGTTCCCAGATCTCCTCCAGGTCCAGCTCCACACTTGGTTCTGCTTTTTGAACTCGCTGCCATTAAAGCAGAGGAAGGTGAAAGGCAGGGGGGTGGCACGGGGGGGACTCGCTGCTAAAACACCTCCCCAGCCCCAGCTGAAAACCTCCTGCTGCCCTCCTTCTCCTCCTCCTCCTCCTCCTCCTCCTCCTTCTCCTTCTTTCCCACCCAAGCCATCTCACGATTCCAAACTGCAGCTCCTGGGGGGGTTTCACCTGCCCCCCAGGGCCAAAACACCCCTTTTATGCCTTAAAGCAGAGATTTCTCACAGAGGCAACTCCTGTCCCAACGGTGTGGGGCAGGGGGGCATGAGCTGATGCCCAGGGTGCTAAAAGGGTCAGTGTTGGGGTGCTAAAAGGGTCAGTGTTAGGGGGGTAAAAGGGTCAGTGTTGGGGGGGTAAAAGGGTCAGTGTTGGGGGGGGTAAAAGGGTCAGTGTTGGGGTAGTTTTTGTGCAAACAAGAAAATATCTCCCCAGGCCTCGGAGACATTCCCAGACAAGCAGAGATTGGTTCTGCCCTTCCAGTTGGAGCCCCCCCCAAAGCCCCCTGAACCCTGAGGTGATCCCTGGGCACCGTGTGTGTGATCCTGTCTCCATCTAGTGACCCAGAAGGAGATTCCAATGGCACAGCTGCTCCTCCAGCAGCTGGAACATCTGAGCTTCTCAGCCCAGGATGGACTCCAGAGCTCCCACAGCCCAGGGAAGTCCCTCAAACTCAGTGTTCCAGTGGCTGGATTGCAGGTCTGGGTTCCCTCCCAGAGCTTGGGGCACAGCCAAGCTCGGGAATGGTGCAGATCCAACCTGGCCAGTGAGGTGGGGAGGATGGGGCTGTGCCCACCCAGCTGTTCTGGCCTCCATGGAACCCCCCCAAAGAACTCCAGCTCTGCATAAAGGAAACTCTGCTACCCTAAAAGATCCCTGTGCCCTTACCCAGCTCAGACAGGACGTATTCCTGATCCCTGAAGATGATCCGGTCGGATTTGTAGGTGGGGGCCTTGTAGTTGTGCTGCAGGGAGAAGAGCTGGAGCAGCTGGGAGGGACGGAGCTGGTCCCGCCACTGGTTGGGCCCGGAGCTGAAAACCAAACAGGATCATGGAAAGGGTTGGAAAGACCTTCAGGATCATCCAGTGGCAGGGGCAGGGGGCAGGGACACCTTCCACCATCCCAGACTGCTCCAACCTGGCCTTGGACACTCCCAGGGATGGGGCATCCCCTCCTTCCCTGGGCAGCCCGGGCATGGGGAGTGTCCAGGAGGCCCCAGGGGTGTAACGGGATCTCCTCAAGGGTTCCCACGTCCTTTGGAACATCTGGGGCTTCAGGAGGAGCACCAGTCCCCCTGGGGCCCACCCCGGTACCCCCCCAGCCCCGCAGCCCCCGGTACCCACACGCAGTAGGTGAGGGGCAGCCCGCAGCGCGCCCCGTAGCGCGACAGGAAGCGGTTCTCCAGGTCGATGACGGTCTCCCCGATCTTCTCGTCCTTGGACAGCAGGTCATAGTCGTACAGGGCCACCCGCAGGTCCTTCTCCAGGGGCAGTGTGCAGCTCAGCTCGAACATCCTGCACGAGGGGGCACGGCACAGACGGCCGGGAGAGGGGGGTGGGCCCTGGGAATGGACCCACAGCCCACCCCAACACACCAGTGCCAGTGGGAATGGACCCACAGCCCATCCCAACACACCAGTGCCGGTGGGAATGGACCCACAGCCCACCCCAACACACCAGTGCCGGTGGGAATGGACCCACAGCCCATCCCAACACACCAGTGCCGGTGGGAATGGACCCACAGCCCATCCCAACACACCAGTGCCAGGGCTGTGTTGTGTTGGCTCAGTTTATCATGGAATCATGGAATGGTTTGGGCTGGGAGGGACCTGAAAGATCATCCAGTTCCATGGGCAGGGACACCTTCCACCAGCCCAGCTTGGTCCAGCCTGGCCTTGGACACTCCCAGGGATCCAGGGGCAGCCACAGCTTCTCTGGGAAATTCATTCCAGGGCCTCACCACCCTCACAGCCCCAAATTCCTTCCCAATATCCCATCTATCCCTGCCCTCTGGCAGTGGGAAGCCATTCCCTGTGTCCTGTCCCTCCATGCCTTGTCCCCAGTCCCTCTCCAGCTCTCCTGGAGCCCCTTTAGGCCCTGCCAGGACTCTCAGCTCTCCCTGGAGCCTTCTCTTCTCCAGGGGAACCCCCCAGCTCTCCCAGCCTGGCTCCAGAACCATGGAATGGTTTGGGATGGAAGGGACTGTAAATCCCATTGATTCCACCCCCTGCCATGGGCAGGGACACCTTCCCCTATCCCAGGTTGCTCCAATCCTCATCCAACCTTGAGTGCAGGTTGGAATGGGAAGCTCTGGCTCATCCAGCAAAAATCCCTCAACATGACATAAGAAAATCCCACGGATCCCAAAGTGAATCCACACTCACTTCCCAAAGACAGGCTCCAGGGTACAGGGCAGGTAATTTTCCTGGTCGTTGATGGATTTCTTTCCCACTGAAATCTTCACGTAGGGATCGCACTGAGGGGAGGGAGAGACAGAGAATCATGGAATGGGTCGGGAAGGACCTTAAATCCCATCCAGTCCCACCCCATGCCAGGGGCAGGGACACCTTCCATAGACCAGGATGCTCCAAACCCCAACCCCTTGCAGTTCCAACAATCTTGGAAAATCAGCATTCACAGCCCAGAGGGACACTGGGGGCCAAACTTGTGACAGTTTGGGGTTTTCAGTGGGAAAAAAATAGGCTTTTTTCTATTTATTTTTAATCCCCAGGAGTCCTTTATGGGAGATTCCCAAGGACTGGAAAAACTTTGTTCCAAATCCATTTTCAAAAACTGGGCAGATCAAAAAGCAGTTTCATTTTCCTCATATATGTTTTCATGCATTTCATATATTTTATACATATTTCATATAATTTTTATTTTCCATATATATTTGATATATTTCATATATATATATTATTTTTCATATATTTCTTTTATATCTTTCATATATTTAATATAAATATTGTTTCCCTTCTATTTTCCACATCTATTTCTTCACCTATTCAAAAATTTCCCATCGTTTTCCTTACTTTCCCCCTGTTTCCCAGTGGAACAAAAACAGTCAAAAAGGATCTTTCCCTGAGATTATTTTTTTTGGGGGGGGGGTGCAAATTGAACCAAAATGAAAACATTTCTCATTTTGCCCAAACCCAATTTCCTTTTTGCCTTTAAATTTCCCTTCCACGCCGGCAAAGGAATTCCTGGGAAAGAGAGGATTTCATCACCCTTTGGCATCAAAATTCCAAAAAAAAACCCACTAAAAAGCCAAAACTCAGCCACATATT